TAAAACAAGTAAAATAATCTGTGGGCTTGTAGAAATAGTCTTATGTAACAATATCATCATCCGATGGCGTGTTTGTCCAAAAGTAAGACCTAAGGGCAGCTCAGTTTAAAAACCATTCGCGTGGGAGGATTAGAGAGACACTGAAAAGATCATCATACCAGAAATATGTGCAAAATGTATATATATACAGTATGTTATAAATATATGCTAATATAAAAGTTATAAATAAATATTTTATTTATTTATTTTAGAGATATTTATGTATGTTTGCTCTCTCTGTGCATGTGCCTATGTTTGGGATAAGTATTTCATAAACACATCAATTCACAAATATTTATCTTACAATTGCTTTCTTAGTGTGATGTTAGATAGACCATTTGATGATGTACAAGTCACTGGCTAAAAACTAATGGATATAGTCTCTGTACTTAAACTTAGAGTCCAGTAAGTAAGATAAGAATACATCTAAAGGGGAGCTTAAAAGATGTACTGTCAAACTCTATGTCATCCCTCTGTACATTTGATTCTAAAGTTCTATACTCAGTTCATATAACAGAGCTGACAAACTAGGAACAACTTTTAAGACTATTATATTTGCCAGTGACTATCCACCAAGATGTTACCCAAGGCAACTGCTTTCCTGCCTCCCCTAGGAAGCAGTAATGCGCAACAGTGTGAAATTGCACCTTAGTAACCAAGATATATTATCTAGTGAAAAGAGCTTCAGGTTGTATGCATAACAATTTATCTTTCTTTCTAAATATTTATTGACTTTCTACTGGTATTACTAAATATATCTGAATTAGTATTTTTTTCTTTTTTTATACAGTGCAAACTAGAATATCAGGCGTGTGTTTTAGGAAAACAGATCTCAGTGAAATGTGAAGGACGTTGCCCATGTTCTTCAAATAAGTCCACAAGTACAAGCAGAAATGTTAAGAGAGGTAAGTGATGAAAATTTATAGTTTTACATTCGTTCCACTCTATTAAAATGCTTTGCAATAAATGTTGCCGTTAAATACACAGTGAGTTCTGCCTTTATACATATACTTAACAGTAATTTTATTTTCAGTGAAGTTTTTTTTCCTTTAGTCTCAGTTATTATAGCCAGTAATGATTTTCTATAGATTTTTATTTATTTTAGTAGTAGCTAGATGCTTTTTTTNAAAAACTCATGTGCCATAGTAATTTTGATTGTTTTATTTTAATTCTATTCACCTTTTATTATATTTACTGGCAGCCTAGTTCATGACAGATACTGCACGGGGAAAACAATGGCTGTTTGATTCTTAAAACACTGGAGATTAGGGGTTATTGTCCCAATTATTATACGAAAAAAATTGAGGCTGAGAACACTTGAGAAACTCATGCTAAAGATCACATTTAGGAAATTGTACTCATAAGATTTGAATTCAGGTGTGACAGGTATCTTTGTTCTATACCGTTCATTTATTTTTTCCATAACATGTGTAATAGAATCACACGTGTACTATTGTCACTCTTTTAATCGCTTCTAATCCTGTGGTCATACAAGCACTGAAGACAGGAATGCTATACTCTTGTCTTTTTAGTAAAACAAGTAAAATAATCTGTGGGCTTGTAGAAATAGTCTTATGTAACAATATCATCATCTGATGGCGTGTTTGTCCAAAAGTAAGACCTAAGGGCAGCTCAGTTTGAAAACCATTCGCGTGGGAGGATTAGAGAGACACTGAAAAGATCATCATACCAGAAATATGTGCAAAATGTATATATATACAGTATGTTATAAATATATGCTAATATAAAAGTTATAAATAAATATTTTATTCATTTATTTTAGAGATATTTATGTATGTTTGCTCTCTCTGTGCATGTGCCTATGTTTGGGATAAGTATTTCATAAACACATCAGTTCACAAATATTTATCTTACAATTGCTTTCTTAGTGTGATGTTAGATAGACCATTTGATGA